TTTTTTCAAAACTCTCCCAAAGGGATGCATGCCACCCGGCTGCTGACTGCCTTGGTGTCTTTAACGCCCGGCTTCTGCAGGACGGCGTGTGGCCATCAGTGCGTTTTGGGACTTGCGACTTCGGACTTGTGACTTTTCGCGACTTCGGACTTGCGACTTTTCGCGACTCTAGACACAATTCTGCCCACCTAATGCCTTGCAGACCTGGTCTCTGTCGGACTGTTTCTGATGTACTGTGTCTCTGACGAACGCGGTCTGTACCTCACACGGTCCTTGACGTGCCGTCTCTGAAAAGCCCAGTTGCGGCAGACACCACGTAAGGCAGAGACCGAGGCGGGCTGAGACACGGTTGATCACACACTGAGTCCTGCAGACACTGGGGTACACGGCAACCGGGTGAGAGAGAGGCCGACTCCGGCAGACAGTGTGAGGCATTCACCGAGGTTGGCATGCATCTCTTGACGAGAATTCTAAAAAAAAATTCAAAATTTTCGAAGAATGAAGAAATGCTGGACATTGTCTGAAAAGCGCACAAAACCAAAAAAATTTGAAAAATTTGAAAACATTTAGTTGGAAGTTTTAAAAAAATTCTTTGATTTTTCGAAAAATATCATATTTTTCAAAATTTCTTTCAAAGTTCTCCCCACCTGATGTCTTGCACACCCGATCTCTGGCGGACTGTTTCTGATGAACTGTGTCTGTGACGTACGCGGTCTGTGCCTCACACGGTCCTTGACGTGCTGTCTCTGAAAAGCCCAGTTGCGGCAGGGACCGAGACGGGCAGAGACTTTTCGCGACTTGGGACTTGCGTCTGTTCGCGACTTTTCGCGGCTTGGGACTTTCGACTTTTCGCGACTTCGGACTTGCGACTTTTCAAAAAATTCGAAAATATTTGTTTTTGTGCGCCCTTCAGGCATTTTCCTATATTTTATGATTTTTCGAAAATTTTGAAAAAATTGATTTTTTTTAAATGTCTTTCCAACGATGCTGTACCCCGGACTCGCTCTCTGCGTGACCCGCTCTCTGCTGTTCTGTCTTTGCCCTACCGTTTTTGACGGAGACAGTCTCTTCCGGGCTCGATCTCTGCACGATCCGGGCTCTATACGACGCGTCCTCTGACGGCTCGTCTTTGCAAGTGCGTGGTGTTTAGAGCCCGCGTGAGGCAGAGACCGTGAGAAGCAGAGATCAAGTCTAGCTGAGACCGGTTGTTGCACACACTGAGTCCGGCAGAGAGAGTCCAGCAGGGACCGTGTGATGCAGATATCAAGACTAGCAGAGACCGGGTCTTGCACAGACTGAGTCTGGCAGAGACCGGGTGTCATTCATCGTTTCTGGTAGGTATAGCATAGGAAAAATTTCGAGATTTTTGGAAATTTTTAAATTCTTTTCAAAAATAAAAAATGCTGGATATTGTCTAAAAAGCGCATAAAACCCAAATATTTTGAAATTTTCCGAAATAATTTTGAAGTCGGAGTTTTTCAAAAATTATTAGTTTTGGGCGCCATTTGGGCAATTTCCTATATTTTATAACATTTCTAAAATTTTGAATAGATTGGAATTTTTTAAAATGTCTTTCCACCCATGCTATACGCCGGATTCGGTCTCTGCCGTGCTCTCTCTGCCTTACCGTCTCTGACGGACACGGTCCCTTCCGGACTCGGTCTCTGCACGATCCGGGCTCTGTACGACGCGTCCTCTAATCCCTTTCAAAATTTTCGAAAATTTTAAAATCTTTCAAAAATTTAGAAATGGTTAGTAATGTCGTGAAAAGCGAAAGTACCTAAAAAATTTGAAATGTTCCAAAATAAATTTTAATTAGTAACTTTTCGAAAATTGTTAATTTTGTGGGCTTTTTGGACAATTTCCAGCATTTTTTGATTTTTTTGAAAATTTTGAAATTTTCTTCAAAATTGTCCCCATTCTTTCTGTGTCTCTGACGGACCCGGTCTTTGCCGGACTCGGTCTCTGCACGAACTGGACTCTGTATATCTGTCTCTGAATGCGCTTCTCTAAAAGAACCTGGTCCATTAAAGACCGGGTGAGGCAAATAACGTTTCCGGTAGAAATCGAGAGAAGCAGAGGCCGTGTGATGCAGAGACTGAGTCCGACAGAGACCGAGAGGAGTGGCAAAACCAGCAGGGACTGGGTGTTGCAGAGACAGAGTCAGTCAGAGACCGAGTCTGGCAGAGAAATGGTGTGACCGGTTCTGGTAGGGATTGCGTTGGGAACATCTTGAAAAATTTTCAAAATCTTTAGAAAAATCAAAAAATTCCGGAAGTTGTCCAAAAAGCGCACAAAACTAAATATTTTGGATATTATTAAGAAAAATTGAAGTTGAAATTTTTCGATTGTTTTTAGTTTTGTGTGATTTTTGGACACTTTCCAGCATTTTTTGATTTTCCAAAATTTTTGAAAAAAGTTGAAGAATTCTCAAAAATTTAGAAATTGTTATAAATGTCGTGAAAAGCGAAAGTAACTAAAAACTTGTGAAATTTTCGAAAAAAAAATGAATTAGTAATTTTTAAAGAAATTTGAAATTTTCTTCAAAATTGTCCCCATTCGTCCCCTACAGAATCCGGTTTCTGGCGGACCCGGTCTCTACCTTTCTCTGTCTCTGACGGACCCGGTCTCTGCCGGACTCGGTCTCTGCATGAACTGGTCTTACTATGTCTGTCTCTGAATACGTTTCTCTAAAAGAACCTGATCCATTAAAGACCGGGTGAGGCAAAGAACGTTTCCGGCAGAGATCGAGAGAAGCAGAGACCGTGTGAATCAGAGACAGAGTCTAGCAGGGACACCTTGTAGCAGAGACTTAGTCCTACAGAGACCGGACGAAGCATGGACCGAGTCTAGCTGAGACTGCGTGTTGCAGTGACGTGAGTCCGACAGAGACCGAGAGAAGGAGAGGCAAAACTAGCAGGGACTGGATGTGTCAGTGACGGGATCTGGTAGGGATCGCGTAGGGAAAATTTTGAAAAAATTTCAAAATTTTCTAAATATCAAAAAATGCTGGAAATTGTCTAAAAAACGCACAAAACCATTTTTATATCATTAAAACAATTGAAGTTGAAAGTTTGCGAAACGCAGTTTTGTGCGCTTTTTGGACAATTCCCAGCAATTTTTTGATTTTTTGAAAACTTTGAAAATATTTTTAAAATTTCTCTCCACACGTTCCCTCAAGAATCCGATTTCTGTCGTACTTGATTTCTGCTCGATCCCGTGTCTGCATGTCTCTTTCTGTGTATTCGCTTTTCTACAAGGAACTGGTCCATGAAAGACCGGGTGAGGCAAAGAACATACAGAAACCGAGTCCTGCTAAGACCGGGTCCGACAGGGACAGAGTACGACATAGACCGGGTCCGGCAGACACCAGATTTTTCAGGGAACGTGTGAGGAGAATTCTGAAAGAATTTCAATTATTTAAATCTTTCTTAGTACATGTTTTGTACAATTCCCACAGAGACCGGGTGTAGGAGAGACCGGGTCCGGCTAAGACCGGTTTTGGCATATACCGGGTTCGGCGGAGACGTAGTTAGAGACCTCGTCCGGGTCGGGGAAATACAGGGTCCAGCAGTGATCACGTCCGGTAGAATTCGGGATCGTAAAAGAACAGTTCTGGCAGACACGTGTTCAGAACTTTGAAAAATTGAGAAATTTTCAAAAACTCAGAAATGTTTGAAGTTGCTGATAAAGCCCTAAAGAATTAAAAATTTTGTAAAATTTCAACTTCGAAATAATTTTCGAAAATTTTCAAAATATTTAATTTTTTGTACATTTATCTACCTACTGAAATTTTCGAAAATATTTCAAATTTTGAATTTTTTTTCGAATTTCGAAAATCATTATAATGGCTAAATATATAGGCCTACTTAGATCATTGGTATTTGTTAGGTATGTGTTTGTAAAAAAAAAGACGCCCGGAGGGGATTGCTGGCCTTTATAGCCAATATTAATACAAACAGGCGTCTGTGTGTACAGTATTACAGATAATTATAGCTGTGTAAGTATATAAAAAGAGTGGCTTGGGTCTGCATGTATTGTACTGCAGAGTGTAGTTGGGGCTTTAATTGCCAGTATTTAGGACAGAGTGACGTATATAGAGCGAGGCTTACACAACCAAAATTATATAGGTAGACGGGCATCTATACTTTAAAGTTGTGACCCAGTTTCCTGTAGAATCTCCATCGAAGCATATAGCTTTGATCTTAGAACCGTTATTCTATCGTACTTGGTTTCCGAGCTTACAGGAAGTGCCCTAACCGGGACACGAACTCAGAGCACCTTCTTCGGAGTTTTAACCTTTCTAAAATCGCTTCTTGATCTCGAATACTAAGCAGGTTAAGTTTGGTACAGATCAGTACATTCATCCTAGAGCAATAAGCGAACATGCACGCACACCACACACACAATTTTAATGTTATACATAAAATATGGTGTAGTTTAAACCGCCAGCATTATAGACAGTCTACAGAGACAATAGGCTTTAAAGATGTAAGGAAAGTGGTCTGTATCATCAACGGATTCTGGTGGAGATATTGGAACCACAAATTCGATGAATCTGTTCTTTATTATCAATAATAAGCAAGATACTTAGTGAACTTGTACAACAAACAAAAAACAAAAAAACAAACTGAACTTGTTTTATGCATAACTGAATACAAGGAATAGTTTACCATCAATATTTATTTTTTATTTTTCTATTACCTCAAATCTATAGACGTCTTATAGCCCTTCCTTGCCTGTGATTCGCATTTAGAACCCCTTTATGTAACGAGAGAATCACAAACAGGAAGACACAAAACAAACAAAAAGATGACATTAATCGACACAGACGCCATCTATAATGAAACTGCAGGTGTGATGAAAGAGGATGATTTTTGTGTCTTTACATTATAATTATAATTGTTATTATTCCGTTAGAGAAAACACATTCGGCTCTCGTGGCAGTGCCTATATATAATATATAATATTAATAACTAATTATAAACAAGCTTCTCACACATTCATACCCTATGCCCTCGAAAAACAGCTACAGAGTTTTAAATCTGTCAAGATTTTTGTATTTATAAAACAAATTTGCGGGCAAGGGGGTGAATGATAAAATGTTTCGTTTGTACAAATTTAAAAAATGATAACGTCTTGAGAGGGTGGTCACACCAAACAACATAGTGGCTGTTTCGGTTACCGGGATATTTAAAAAGTAAATTAATCTTGCACAAAACCATGTTTACAGAACATAGACAAGTGGTAAACACATTCAATATTCCGTTTGTACATTGGACCACAAAATTACGCTTCAAAATCTTAAAACATTATACTTCAACTTGTCTCATACATTATCAGAAAGATTTAAACCATTATCACATAATACAATTATCCCTCCGTTAACGCCTTTCGTTATTACACGGCTAAATTTTAATTTAATCAAGATTTCTTACAAATAACCTGCAAATATTTCGTTACTACGCGGAAAACTCAGTTTTCGGGTCCTCAAAGTCGTTCTATTTTCAATTTTACTCAATGCGTCTTCCACTAACGCGGTACTTCTAACATTCTGAGAAACACATTCCTGGGTTAAAACTTGTTCTTTTGCTAACGCTGTCGTATAATGGCAGCCTCACGTTACCAGGTTCCGATGATGAATTTTTTTTGTTGAGGAAATGTACTTTGAACACGAAGATCGCAAAAGGTATTGGGAATTCACGAACTGATACCTGAAACATTAGTCCCTAACAGATTAAGGAAATAATCGATTGCGTTAAGAGACGAATTACTGCATACGTCTTACCACTGAAGTTAAATACTGTAGTGTGACAAAATGCCAGAAACGTTCTACTGAAATGTTGCAACAGAAATTGCGGAATTGCAGTTGAAATTCTAACTTTGTAATCCACATTTCTTCTTTTTTTATGAAACATAAATAGGTAAGAGAGCATGCTAAATTTGTTATATATATTTGTTAAAATACACGCACACACAAACACTGAAAGTATTTTTTACATTTACAAAAATATCACAGTTCCTTTTTCATATTTTCACCGTCATTTTTTTTAAAAAGTTTTGAAAATCAATATACTTATGATTTTCAAATAAAAAGCATATGCTACCCTTCATTTCTAGTGTTGCAATGGACAGTTTATCCCTAATGTTTGAAATCACATACCTACAGAAATAATTTGCTATGTGGACTTTCAATGAAGACAATATCTGATTCAGATTTCAGGTGTTTATAATTACCTCATATACCTTTAGAATGATCTTATGGCATGGAAATACCCTCCAAACGTAAACATCAAACATCTTGGTGCGACATATAAACAGCAGAAAGATTTCAAATATTTGGGACAAACTGCAGCGTACTTCGTTACGTAAAACTTAACTCCTATGCCACACTTAATTCCAACTGATTATCATACGTAGACATAAAGTTTTCAACCTCCCAAGACCACCATGAAAAATTCGTTTACGATTTAGAACAATATAAAAACAATTCTCCATCTTTACAACGATATTACAAAGACACATATTCATCTGTCGTGGCCAACTGTGTGTAGCAGTTGGCAGCCCTTGTGTTGATTTTTTTTAGTCAAGCCAAGCTCAAGTTTATTGCTTCTGTTTGGATATCAGGGCAGGATGATTAATATGTTAAGTCACAACTCAAAAGGCTCCACTCATTCATTCGTTAATGTCAGATATATTCGTAAGACTTAAAACATTACAACTTTAAAGTTTATGATCCTATTCATTTCAGTAAAAAACTCCGTTTTCTAACATGCTTAATATCACAGTTCATAAGTACCAAAATACTCTTTTCAACTATTTTTATTTTGTTATTTTTTATTTCGTCAATTTTTTATTGTTACAACCTGGGCTAATCTTCTAAGGTATATTTACTGTTTTTTTCAGTCTAAGAACATCCAGCACCATTTTATACGTATTTTTGCTCCCCAAAACATTCAATTTCTATTTTCATAAAAAATACCATGCCATTCTACATAATCTATAAACAGTGACAAAATGGGGGAATGAAACTATGATTACGAAAATGTATATTCTACTTGTCAATTGCTTTCATTAAATATTAGAAGACAATTACATTAAAATTTTGAAACAATGTGGAAGATGGCAGAAATGTGAAAAAATAAAATAATATCTTAACAAATTTTGGTATTCCCAGAGAGACTACTTAACAATATTACAAAGATTGCAATTTTTGTTTCTTCTAACTACAGAACAATTTAGAAGATCAAAAACAGATAGAGCCAGGCTAATTCTAATTTGCCACACCCAGAACAACAATGGAGCCATTAAACTGACGGGGAATTTAAGAGATGTAATTCAAAATTGTTTACAATTATACGGAGCTCTGATCTACAAGAAACAGAATCCTGGAAACAAAATTACACAGATCAAAGATACATTTAAACACTTATAATATTCAAAAATGTGAGCAAAACTGTGACTGCTGTGCCATATTGTAGTGCATAATGTAGATTTTGGAACAGTTCATTTTGAAATATTATATTTAAGTAACACCATTTCATGTTAATCTATACTTGGAAAAAAATGTCGACTCACAAAGATTTACAGTAAATTCTCATTATCAGACAAAGCCTAAGCATGATTTGCCATTTCATATTTCACGTGGATGTAAAGGAAACGAGTACGTAGACCTTCAACATAAACAATTAATCCTGCAACACGACAATAAATTTTATTGGAAGACTATAAAACAAATGAGAAGCAACTACAATGAGTTTAACATTGGACTGATCTATTCTTATTCAGCTACCAATTCAAGAAAAACAAACAATAATTCAATAATTAAATAATTAACTTTTATTCAAACATACCAAAACCCAAATGTTTCAATTTTCACGTCATAACAGGGTGATAAGATATCTAACATCCAAATTCAGATACTTAAAAATTCAATTGAGCTTTCCAAGCAGAATGCCAGAAAATGTGGACGGTATATTGAATTCACATATTTTGTAAAACTCATACAAAACTGGAATACATAAATTGTACACGAATGAATTTAAGCTCATTACTAATTTCTATCGACGGTTATGAATGGGTTTACCCAACTGAGATTCTTATATCAATTGCTTATCATTTGTTTTTATTTATCATAGTACATCATACAATATTCTGTAGTTTGAGACCAAATAAACCCAGATATCTAAATCATCGTTTCGTTAATCGTTAACCTGGCAGTGTGTTAGAAGAAATGGCAGGGGTATCTCATGCTTGAGGAGAATTTCTGGCTACTGATTCCTAAACAAATTCAAAATCGTACATTTTATTATCCACGATGGGTTTAGTTTCAATATTAGGTATAAGACTACTAATTATGTGTCTAAAAACAAATATAGCAGATTTTGGAAGAAATATAAATCTCACATTTTCAAAACAATAATTTAAAAACTTTAAAATATTTCTCAAAATATGTACAATAGTTTAAGATACTGGTAACTTCTTTGCCATAAACCAAAGTTAAATTAAAATGTAATTTAAGTCAAATATGTGACAGCACGAAGAAAATAAATACTGTATTGTTTCATCAGAACTTAACTGCTTTATTACATGAGAAGATACTTGAAGATTAAAATTAAATCAATTAAACTGTTACAATTTTAAGTAGAATCACTTATGCATTGCCTTTCTTTTAAACTTGGAAAGATACAATACACACATGAAGAATTTTTATTAAATAGTGGTAATCTTCCTTGAATTACAATGTGACATTTAATGCCATTGAAGCGTTATTCCAAAATCTTGTTGTCCTTGTTAAAAACACATTTTTATTGCTAGACATTTGGTAAGTACTGCAAATATTAAACTGATCATCGTAAATAAAACAGTAGCCAGATACGAACACAGAAACCGTATATAGTGGGCAGATCTCAAACACTATCGAGGGCAAACAAAAACATTTTACGTACAGACCCAAGCAACTAATCATACATTTATGACACGACACGTGATCCTTTTAAAACACCGAGATTCATTTTAAGTGAGCTTATGCGACTACAGAATTCTAATGTTGGTTCACTGATTACGATATTATACCACAAAGAGTCTAATTTTGGTTGGTCTCATCCGTTCTCGGACAAGATTCAACGGGTTACGGATGTCGATACGAGACTTCTCCCCTGATCTGACCAGGCATGCCAATTGCAATTCCTATCAATTTGGAAGAAATTAATTCCATTAATAGATTCTAAATAGATATGTATGAATGGTTACTATACCATTTCTGTCATGCCTGAAAGTAATTGTTCAAACGAAATATGAATTTAATAAAATATAACAGCAGAAAGGAACAAATATTTTTATCATATCATGCTTTGTAACCATTTAATGAAATAAATAATTGCAAACAGAACCATTTAGATAAGTAACTCTTGCACAGAAACATATAATTCGTGATGCTTTCTGGAACACTGGCCTCAGCCCCCCTTACAATCTTCATATTCACTATCAGAACCCAAATCCTAGTTAATTAATGGTTTCTGATTGCTTATTTAATATTTCCTTAGTCGAACTGAAAACATTTTATTATCTGCATGTGGGTGTCAATAATTCATGAATTGAAAATTGTCGACTATTCTTCCAGTAACAAAACAGCAAAATTAATGCCAATCTGTAATTTTAATATCAGGCGTTCAAAGGTTTGAAGTTTACTCTTTCCTTCTTGTACAATGTCCATAATGCATTTTGAACATTTTAGCGCGACCAATAAACCGAATCACTGGATAGAAAATCATTAGTGTTGGGCAGAAGCATTCCGTTACACCGTTCACTTTTTATCCACAAACACACGCTTCATAATGGACAAATTTTAATATACAGAATCATTACAAATTAAGCATAAATCCACTTAACAAAATCATACAAAAGTCCACAAACTAATTGAAACTGTTGCAGTTTTCAAATATATTTAGAAAAGATGGCCGTCTCCTGGATTATATTGCCTTTTACTTTGGTAAAAGTTTACCAAAGTTTTGGAGGCCCTTGCTGTCTCCATCATTAGGGTGATCAGGGTCTTATCACCCAGACGATAGAGGCCGCAAGGACCTCTGAAACGGTGGAAAACTTTCTCGAGACTACATGGCGATACAACACAGAAGGCCACCATCTTCAAAATTAACCTCAAATCCTACTTAGAAGAAACTAATCATATTATAAATGCCATATTACTGAAAAAGTAACTACGAATATTTTGGTTTCTTAAAACAGGGTGTGGTTTAGATTAATAAGACATTACATAAGCACTTGTAGCAGGATATAAAGAAATCCTGGATGAGAGATTGGCCACAGAGTGGGTGTAACTCATAATGGCTTAATTTCTGTTGAGTTACATTAAAGACTAAGTCTAAGTCTCACCACCTGCACTCGAAAGACCTCAAACTTCAATTACACAGAGCAACTGTTCAACTGGACAAGAATAACTGCAAACAATTCGCAGAGAGTTTGAATGTTTCTTGGATGGCGTCAGAATACCCAACAGAGCTCAAACTGAGCATCTATAAAATAAAATAAATTTGTCTTACTATTTTCATCAATGAGAATATAAATTCCAAGAAAAATTAAATTGGTGGTATTGTTATTTGTGGTTTATTTAATTACATTGTCAGCACCTTAGACTTCTGTGCTGTATGATACAATTATTAATAAACAACAAAGTGGAAAGAATATGGAAGGAAGTGATCATGGCTTATTTATGGTACCATTTCAGCATTTTCCTACAAGGACTGAGGATAACCCAGTCACTGGGCTAAGATTTGAACATGGAACCCCCTGAATACAAAGTACAAATGCTAACCACTCAATGAAAATGACAATAACTGTACACTTAATTTGTGATGACCCTTTGTACTCTTGTTGGTGTGCCACCATCCATCACATTAACCTCAATATTTGTTATATTCAAATCTACAAATTGCAAAAATTAACCAACAAGCTTCTAATTTTCTAAAAATTTTAAAATATTAATTTATAACCTTAACAATGATTGCTGGTCACATATATGTTATGGTATTTAGTTCTATTTCGTATTGTTACTGCCAATTTGAATGAAACACATACGTTATATTTCATATATTGCCAATTTTATAGTTCTATATTGTTATTAATGTCCATACAAAACTTTCGTATTTTATTTTGTTTTACTAATCCTAAACAATCTGTGTTAGATTTGTTTCCTATTAATGTGCATGTATTTGAATTTTGTTAAAATTCTTAAATACTTACAGTTACATAGTCTGTGTAATTCGCTGATGTTGTCTTAAAAAAATTGTACTATAACTTCATTCACTGACCTGCATGAAACATACGTGACTTTTACATGTCGTTCGCCCTTCGCATTGTACACATGGTACATACGACGGATCATAGATGGCACTCATATTTAGTTTCACAGCCGTAAGAGCCATACATCAAATTCATTTTGATTATAAACCAAATATTCACGAAACTAAATGGAACCTCAAGAATTAGAATGTAAAAGGGCTCAAAACGTTCCATCTTGCATATGCTTGCGTATTAATAAGAATTAGCACCTCTCCCTGTTTACTGCCTATTTCAATTAGTTTTGTTCACAGTACTGCCAACTTATGAGTAGGTACCCTACTTTGTTGAGTGAAGTCAGGTGCATGACCCAGTCAGAACCTCTTAATTACAAGATTAATGTTAATTGATATGAATTGTGAATTTTTACGGATTAATGTGTCTATACAAATTTCATGCCCATAATTTCTTTAACATAGATATTAAGTTATAGGCAATAAAAGGGAAGAAAATTTATAATTTAATATACCAGTTGATGGCATTTTCACGGTATTTTTTTAAAAAATAATTTGTTAAATATTATCAACACGAAGATATAACAAGATAACTAGAAAATTTATGTGATACAAATAACTGACAATAAGAAGTGTATGTTGGTGGATAGTAACACACGTGAAACACTGCAGGGAATCATTTAACCAACACATTTTACTCTCTCCCAGAGATCATTCATGTCATTCTACAAACATATTCGTGTAATATCTTTAGTATCACTATATTAATTAGCAACAGAAGCACAGAACTATGCCAACTTCCAAGAAGCATCAACACAATTATATTATTTGGAACATAACCTCCAATAATGTTTACATACAATTTTGTACAGAAAAACAAAAAATGGTAGTGATGCAGATTTCAAAGATGACATCTTCAAACTACACAAACCATTATGAAAGGCATTTCTGGACAGTAATTTCTTTACACTATTTATCTTCAAACTGCTTTGATAATTGGTCAAGGGGAGGAACAAATGATTTGAAAGAAACATACATTAAGAATATAAATTATTTCTGTAGACACGCTGCTTTTTTTCTTTAGTCTTGATTTTCTTCTGCTTCATGTGTAATTTCGTCTTCTGTTGTAACTCTGAAGAAATATGTAGCCGATCACTAATGTGCACACAATAAATGCTCATAATTCAATGAAACATTAACTCAAGTCAAAGGAATTATAACCATCTTCGGATGAAAAAAATATTTACGCTGTTTTACTTCGCTGGTGGCTTGTAATTAAATTGTTACGTAAAGATAAAAATGAAAGTGGTATATATAAACAACAATAAACAAAAGCAATGCAGCAGCCACATATTTTTTTTACAAAAATCCACAAACCCATACGTTTGAAAGACAATGTACTATACAATTTTATCTTTACCACAGAATGAGACAAGTTTGACAGAAAGTCTTGTTCATGGTAACTTACCATTGTGTGCGAGATCATAAATACATCAAACAAGCTACTTGTTTGCTAAACGGTGCATTTGAGCAGAAGTCAAAAACCATGTCAAGACGTGTAACCATGAAACCAGAGGATGTCTAAATTAAGTATTCATCAAACATAAACAGAGGCATTTGGAAAGAATCTAAATGTCCTCAAGCACCAATATGAAAACAATCTAAAATCCAGGAATATTATTCTGACTGGCTGTCTGTCATGATAGTGTTACTATAGGAACGTGAATCAGGTTTCGCGATGTTGGAAACTGTAGATCCTCTTACAAGATGTAGGAAACTTGAGGTGTTCTTTGTAACCAAAGCATTCTTTCCAATCTGTTTTTGTCTGACTGACAGTTATACTGATCGAATCTTTCTGACTCCACATTTTATCTTTACGAATACAACGGCGCATTTATCAGAAAGTACGATTTACTCTGCCTGTAATTAAAAACCTTAATGTTCCATGTATCCAACTTGAGATTACACAGTAACCTTCTTATGGGTCCAACACGATGTATTGATTTTGTCATCTCCAAGACATGGAAATAAGCATCAGGTCTAACAATAAAATAACGCTTGTTCTTATGACACGACGGAAATTACGTAACACGACATTTTCATCTCGTAACAGATAAATATTGATCCAATTCTAATTTCACTTATAATCAGTCAATTTCTGTCTTTCACTGGTTGTTCTCTTTTGAGCATATTCTTACTTCAGTGAGCAGATTTAGAGAATTCTTCTCTATTTTTTTCCTTTTTGGATACATGTTAACAAATGGGTCATCACTATCAGCAAAGTGCATTATTGAGACCAACAATAGTTTGGATAATTATCATTGTAACAATAATTGTAATAGTCACTATTCGCTGAAGTAGCAGGACCGGGGGCGTGGCATTATTGCCCCTTTTCTTTCAGCCCTAAGAGGTGTTCGCTTGCCATGAGCGACGATGATGTGGGCTGGTGGGCATAGTTCCTGATCTGATGGAGGGAGATCAACTGATTTGGGAAACTATTTGAAGAACTTGACTTGGGCATGTCCATCGAGCCTCCGCCCAGCCCTGACAGTTGGCCCGAGGATGACGTCACGACTTTAGACGTCGGGAATGAAATAGCGTCGTATGGGATGTATGCCGGTCGGGACGCAGATGATGCCATGCCCAGCTGGTGGTGGTTCAGATGGTTGAGATGGTGGTGTGCTGGTGCCAGTCCACCCATGGACTGGATAGGAGTGAATGCTGATGTCGAAGATGGCGTTGTAGATGTCTTTATCGTAGAGGAGTTGATCAAGTTTGCTGTTGCAGCAACTATACTTGAAGAATCCGCGTAGACAGACGATGGCGATGAAGACACGATCACTTGTGAAGTGGGTGTTGGTGGTGGAGCTGGTGGTGCTGAAGAGTGTTGCTGGTGCAGTGTGGTGCCTTGTTGGCTCCTGATGACGACAAGATCTTCGCCACTGTCACCTCCACCACTACCACTACTGTTTGTGCCACCATTCATCTGCCTGTTGTGATGCTCCAGCAGACTCCGATGGTGCTGTGATTGTGCTAGATGGTGCTCTCCCAGATTGGCACCATTTGCCGATTGTAGACATGCTTCATGCTGTTGGTTCATGGCCTCCACCAATGAATTTGCAGTGTCTGGTGAAACTTTAGGCCAATAGGGGTGAGGATCTGTTGCTGGGTTACCAGGGGGATTCCCTGATGAGTTTCCTGGACCTAGAGATGCCACATTGCGGTTACTGAGGCCAATGCCCGTAATCGGTGGTCTCTTGTCGGTCCTCTCCGCGTGTTTCTGCATGTGTTTGGTCAGATAAGTTTCTTGGGTGTAGGACTTACCACAGTATTGGCAGATGTGAGTCTTCAAGTGCTTGGACTCTTTATGCTTAGGGATGTGCTCCAGGAGGGACGGCTCATCCGAAAAACACTTGTAGCAGGAGTTGCATTTGAATGGTTTGTCAGTCTGGTGACACCTGGAATGGCTCTGGAGGTTACTGAGTTGCGAGAATGCCTTGTTACAGCCTGGATGCCGACACTTGTATGGCTTGTCTCCTGTGTGTGTGCGAATGTGCTGCTGCAGGTGTGAAAGTTGTGTAAACTTCCGTTGGCAAATCTCACATCTGTATGGCTTGATCCCCAAGTGTATACGTGTGTGCTGAGACAGATACGAACTGTTAGCAAATGCTTTGCTGCACTGTGAGCATTTGTATGGCTTCGCCTCACGCATGTGCAGTTGTGTGTGTAACTGCAGGTCTGCTTTTGAACCAAAGATCTGAAAAATACGTCAAGAACATAAGTGATTATGTTAGTCACATGCAACACAAATTGATTTGTGAGCCATGGGTGGAAAACATTTAATGGAAACTGAGTTGTTTATCCTTTTCATATTTACATATGAAAAATAATTATTCTTAGTTAATTATTAACTCTGCATTTCGAATGTCTGGGTTTTGAATAATTCTAAATGTAAACAGTTATTATTTCCTCAAACAGCATTAACAAACGAATGTTTGTAATGTTGAAATAATGTTTTCTTTGTAGCATTGGCTGAACTCTTAAATATTATTAATATCGTGTTTGATGTATTTCCGAAATGATGGCATCTACCGACGAGTCCACATGACGCCATAACCCATGTCATCATCCTCGCCAATGTGAAAACCACAAATCTCACATACATTATCTATGCCATCTATACTTTACTCTAGAGGTGAAGATCAGTGAAAGGCACCCTATGGGAATCCCTAGGCAGCCAGGAGCCCATGTAATCACGTGGAGAATCCCCGCGACGTCATCACCCAACCAGACAGGCGCCAGACACCCCACCCCAGGCAACTGACGTCACCGGCGTCATACGCTCAGGTCAAAGGTCGTGTTTTGAAGGAATAAACATTCTCACATTTCTACGTATATGATAACATTTTTGAATTGAAAATGTAGTTGTAAGAACGTAGCTAACGAGCCAGTTCTTAAGCTGTGAGTAATTTTTTAACTTGCTTTCTGTAGATATACGCCTAGTGACGGGCTGATCACGCGTGCAATAAGACCTAACAAATGTCTACTTCTGCGTCGGAACAGGCCAAAGGACCTAATACGTGACAGTTAAAAAGAAGGCAATTATTTATATAGTACGGTAAGAGAATTTTTCAGTGCTGTTCTCTGTTAAATCCTTTCTGTCCTTGATTCACAATGTTAAATAATAAAAGTGCAGAGTTGGACAGGCGAGTACAATGTCTTGTGGAAACTTACGGTGGGAGAATACAAAAGAACATGCAGAACAGAATCAGGGTTCCTGGTAGCAGCAAGCAGTCATGACTTTCTGTCACCAGGCGTCGCTAATGACAGACTCGTGTGACTCAGCTGTGGAAATTTGTGACAATAAACGACAGGTGCTTGAAAAAAAGTCACTATTCTTGATGTCTTTAGTACTGGCAGAGTTAAGTACTAAGAGGGGATGGCGACAAGAATTCTTTTGTGGACCTTACCGCAGTCTCACCAAAGATGATGATGATTATAATAATAATGATAACCACAATAAAAACAATATTCTGGTAGCAGAACTCAAAGGTTCAACACAGCTAATGCCAGTTGTATTATCCCACATCCTCAGAACAAAAAGGTTCAACACAGCTAATGCCAGTTGAATTATCCCCCATCCTCAGAACATATTTCTCAATTTTTCTTCTAGGTCAACCTAGCGGTTGCTTTCGAAGATGTTTCTCCATCACAATTTCGAAAAACATTTCTTCTTTTCCTAACCTTACTACCTTTTTAGGACTACATGCCCAAATTTCACAATTTTAAAAATATTAAGTGACTGCGTAACACACAAAATTCCCTGTTTTGAAATTATTCCATGGACCAAAGATTTTGAAACGCTGATAGTCGCTCAGCTTGTCAGGAAATTCACCGCCTTTTACTGAAGATTTTTTTGAAATCAAAGAACGCGTGCGGTATTTCCAAAATTTGAAATTACTCCTTATCTTATTTTAATTAAAGAATATTATACTCTTCAATGTAATGTAAACAGTGATAACAAATTGACAACAACCAACCAACAATTACTTATTATATGGTTGATTATACAGCGTAATGAATTACCAGTACTTACGCAACCATCCACAGGTCCAGATTTTTTCATGGGTACTTTGTTCTCAAACATTTTAATGTATTTTTCCCCGCAAAGCAGTTGTTGTCCTATAGTCTATGCGTATGAAACATTACCTCTCACATTCACGGAAGAACGCAGATTAACTCAAACTTTTCACGGCATTGAGTGTTCAGATTTTTGTCTCTTGGATTGTGATTTAGAAAACTACTACATTCTTGTGCTAATTTACACTGTAATGTGATTTATCTTGATTCTGCCAGTTTTCTCAGAACCGCCATGTTTATATGATTTATATCACGCGGTCTTCAGCTGCAAGCTTAATACCAGGTTCATCCCACTACTACTGAAGTAATTTTGCCACAAAGAAACTATCATATCGTGGTACTAAACCAGACACTCGGCGTGAACAAAGTGCCAATGCAATTTCGGTCCATATCGAGCCAACATAACCTCTCCCATTAATATAATTTTTCCATTACATAAATATCTCATTATGATCTGTATATTGGATAAGAAACATTTTTTGGAGATCTGCCTTGACTGAAGATTTTCGTGTTTTCGCAAGTCCCTACAGGTAAATGGCGGAATAGTGTTTTAAATTATGCCAAGACAATCATCTGAATATATATATATATATATATAGGTCGGCTGTGAAGACAAAAATTCTGCCCCTGCCACAAATCGAACCCTGCTCGTTTGGTCCGTAATAAATCATTACTTATTTACTGCAAACATTTGGCGAATTTCATTAGTTGACAAAACTTGGTTAAGTAAAGTAATAAACAACCATCATTTATACTCTTGTTTCGAACTGGCAATGCAGCTGAAAAGCTGAGCATCTTTTTAAAAAAAGATTTTTTTGTTCTATTTTACGAACGAGTTTAAATTTACACCCGAAAGCAGCGTGACTCACTCATTAGTCAAGGGAGAGAGAGGCAGAGTGTGAGGACGGTTATTTTTGGTCGCCATCTTCCCAGAGACAAGAAAGCTTCAAGACGCGAAGTGATATCATCCTACAATGAATGAGAAGACATATGCCTCCTATTACTGATAAACCCACGACAGTTTTGCTGTAAGGCAGAAAGAAGTACTGTGTTAAGACGGTTAAGTCAACGGGTAAAGATAATTTTATTATTCAATGAACATCCACGTTCCACCTACAACTAATATTCGTTTTATAACATGAATCTGTTATACCAAAACCAAAAAAACACATCGATAATGCCAAAGCCTGACTACTGACACAATCTTGAGCCAGTTCAAGCCATCTCCCATATTCGCAAAACAATTATTTCTCAAAGTTCTAATTCCATATTACCGCATCTCTTGGTTCCATAGACTGGTTGCCGTCCTTCAGGTACGCTCATCAAAATGTTTCTGTTCATACCCTGTCTTCTCCATCCAGACTATATGTCCATCACATCTGAAAGTTACTTTTGCTACCCTGAAAACCTAGGCGACCTGCTTATGTCACATCGTTCTGTAACATTTTAAATTATACATGGATTTTCCTGATACGTAAATTCACAATCTGTATTCATTATTTAATGTTGTTGCCGTGATTAAATTAAGAATGATGAGATGGGCTAGACAGTAGCACGCAAGACTGTAAATTAAAACTATACTAAGTTTTGACCTCTGGACGCAGCTGGGAAGTTAATAAGGTGGACAGCACTGAACTGATTTTGGATAGTATTCAATGGTGGGTTTTGTGAACACGGTGACGAATTCTCGAGTTTCATAAAAGCAGGTAATTTATTTTGCACCTGAATAACCAACCATCAACTGCTGACGAACATCTACATGACACTTGTAGATTAATCTTAAATAAATTCTCATGTTCCAAACAATCTGTCCGATTCGGAACATTGTGGCAACGTTCACAAATTAGGACACTGCCCTTTTCATTATTAATCAGGATGAGATAAAATATTAACACTTTTCACGCCACCCACGAGATATCTCACCTGGATATATGACGCATTTAAGAAGTTCAATGTAAAGAAGTGTCTGCCATCTGTTAACAATTGAACTATTCGGAGAGGAAATCGACAGTAGCAATTACACGGTCGTACGGAAACAGGCAACCAGAAGAATCCTTCTTCAAACAAAAACCAGCTTTGGAAATCTTCATGAACTACGTTACACAAAAGTACATTGGGAATGAACCTTTGCTAAGCGCTCTTTACGTGTTTTTCATGCAGATACACGTAACTTTACGCTAGGTTACGTTGTCCCAGCCACGTGGTCGAGACATAAATATAAACGAAACCTTTCTTCTTCCATTTTTTGGGGCGGGGAGGAAGAGAGGGAGTTCAAGGTCATTCAGTTCCTTTTTATGTGGAAGGGTAACCACAACTTCGTGACTGTCTTGTCTGTTCTCTATCCATGAAGAAAAGGAGAAGAAGAAGAACAAGGAGGGAGAGTTTTCCCCTCGTGATGGCAGCGTCTCGCGAACAGAACAAACTGGGGGGAAAGTGGATACAACCGGACATAATTCTGCTACGTCCATGTAACATTCAATCAGACTAACAACAGCTCCTTCCCAATCACTGCCCCTTTTCTACGTTGCAGATATCAACGTTTCCGAGAAACTGAAGATAGAGACAGTATGTTTCTCCGAAACGATGGTATCTGCCTATAAATCCACACGCCCTAAAGACAAACATCAACTTCTTCACTGTCGTCAGAACACTAGATCTCATGCATTGCTACCCACTGTTGTCATCATCTTATATATCATTCGATACTATGTAACCTCTGCAGCTGAAATGGAGTCAATAAGAAGAATTATGATGACTAACAAGTAGGCTTCCAGCGCGCGCAACCCAATGTAAACACTCTCCTCTGAAAGGGGTGATGTTATGTGCACTGCAGAGGTTGTTGGACATTTTGTACAATACACGCCAGCTTCACGCCACGCCGGCTTTACCAAGAAGGATCTGAACATATGTAAAGCATCCATTACTTCACAATTAATTAAGGGAAATTAAACAGTGGCAGAAATAAATATTACTGAGCAACTGAAATAATTGAAATATTTGAGGAAGAGAATTTTATAATTTAAAGTGGATATGGACAACATACAGTCAACAGTATAACAAGAACTGTTAGTAATCACAACTCAATACGTAACGTAACATCGAAGGTAACATATATGA